CAACTTGGCAAGATCTCATCTCTTCAATAAATCAAAAAATTAGCTGGGCATGGTAGCACACGCCTGTAGTTCCAGTTACTTGGAAGGCTGAGGCAGAAGGATTGCCCGAGCCCAGCAGGTCGAGGCTGTGGTGGCTGAGAGCGGCCACTGCACTCCAGTCTGGGCGACAGAGTGAGACTCCAACTCAAAAAATAAAAAAAATTTTAGAAATCAGTAGGAAACAATATACTATATAAATGACCAAGTAAATTTGAAAGTAATCTAAACCATCACATATCCTTACTAAAGGTAATTTGCAAAATAAAGAAAAAAAAGATTGTTAGTTTTTAGTCTGTTTTCTGTTGTTTATTACAAAATACCTGAAACTGGGCAGTTTATAAAGCAAATAAATTTACTTTTCGCAGTGATGGGGACTGAGAAGTTCAAGGTCAAAGGACAGTGTCTACTGAGAGCCTTCTTGCTGGTGGGGACTCTGCAGCGTTCAGAGGCAGCTCAGGGCATTGCATGGGAGGGGGCAGTTATGCTAGCTCAGGCCTCTCTTCTTCTTCTTATAAAGCTGTCAGTTCCTCTCCTGTAATAAGCCACTAATCCATTTACCCATACATGGATTAATCCAATCACCTCTTAAAAGCCTCCCCAATACTACCACATTGAGTTTCAACATGAGTTTTTGAAGGGGCATATACTCAAACCATAGCATTTATGAAGAAGAAAAATTAGACCAAATGAGAGGTCTGCAAGAAGAAAAGAAAAAAAGAATAGTAAGCAAATTAGTAAGTACATATGAAAATTTAAACAATCATCAATCAACAATAATAATAATGTTTAATTTATACAGTTTACAAAGACAAGCTAATAATAACAATGTCTAATTTAAGGTTTAAAAATAATAAATACTTAACAGCAACATCATGTAAAGAGGGAAGACAGCTAAAAAAGTTAAAGTCTTATAAGGCTTTGGAGAGGAAGGTAAGAATATTATAACTAAGTACATACCAAAATTTCTAGAAAATCTAAAATAAAATAATGAGAAGCACAGACTGATTAGTACAAAAGCAAGCCTGAGTCCGCGGGTTCAAGATCCACCTGGGCAACTTGGCGAGACCTCATCTCTACATAAAATCAAGAATTAGCCGGGCATGGTAGCGCACGCCTGTAGTTCCAGTTACTTGGAAGGCTGAGGCGGAAGAATTGCTGGAACCCAGCAGGTAGAGGCTGCAGTGGCCGGGAGCGTGCCACTGCACTCCAGTCTGGGCGACAGAGTGAGACTCCAACTCAAAAATAACAAAACAAAACATAAAAAAAAAAAAGCAAGCAAAAAGATAGAAACATTCAGAAAATAAAATCTAACATGGTCAAGGTTAATCTAAATAGAGTTGGAAGTTCATTGAATATAAGGAGACTAAACTATCCAATTAAAAGAATGATTATTGGAATTTAAAGAGCAACTTCCCAAACATGACCTGTATGATGATCACCTGTATACCTAATCCTGAATTGAACCCTACATCTTTTTTTTTTTTTTT